AGGAGGGGGGCTGAGCCCCATCCCTTTCCGCCTCCCCTCCCCCGTAGGGACGAGCTGCCCGCCGTGCCGCGATCTGCAGACCCGCTCCCCCCCCCTCCCTCCATACACACACACCTCCTCCCGTCATCAGTTCTGCGAGATAAGTTTTGCTTTTAACGTGTCAAAACGGGAAACTTCGTATTTTCCAGTAGCTCGAGGCAACCCGAAGTCGTGACTGAACGTCTGAAGTTCAGTTGGCTTGTTCGGTGCAGATGCAGCAGCTAACCAACCCTGACAGTCCTGGCTGTACTTTTCCCGAACAATCTGTTAGGTAAAAAGTAAACTGCACACGATGGGAGGATCAGCAGCCTGTTCAAACAGTGTTACTGTCACCCTCTCTGGCTCAGGTGAGCCCTGGGCCCCCCACTGCACTGCAGAGGAGGCACATGGCTGTGTTGTAGCTCCTCTTCTCCAAACTTAGTTGAGAGTTTGGTCTAGGTTAAGTGTTTTTATCATTAGGAGGCAGCATGAGCCAGAATGTTTGCTAGTAACTTAAACAGTTGGAACAGAAGATGAGAAAACTGGGTGGCCTTATATGTAGTGTTTACTTGTAGGGATTTCTTAGTATTCCTGCTCCTGCAAGGGGAGGAATTAATATATGAAAGTACATCCATAACAATTTGTTGGTTGTTACATTCATTTTCACAGTAGGGAAATTTTGAATTTTGAAATTTTTGTATTGCAGAGATCCATCAAGCTTGTGTTGCTCTGGGCCTGCCTATGGATTGCATATAAGTATGTGCATTTCTCTGTGAGTAGGTGCAGTGTGATCTAGCTATCTGCAGTAAAAACACAGGGTGGGGAAGGCTCTCATCCTAAGAGGAGTAATGTTGGATTTGATAACTGTGTCCATCATGTAAGTCTGGATCAGGTTTGCCTTGAGCTGGTGCCAGGGGGTAGTTGCTGTGCTGCACCGCAGTGTGCTTGCTTGTGTTGACGGAATTTCCTTTGGTCCTGACCCCAAATAACATGTGGCCTGACTAAAGGAGGAATGTAACAAGCAGAATGGTCAGAATGCCACCTACCCGCCTTCTTTGTTAACTGTTCCTGAGCACTAAACCAGGAAAAACGTTATATACTTACTTGCTTTGCCTGCTGTGATGCTTTTGGTGTATCAGTGATGTCCTTTAAAGTTCCTTCTTGGCTCCAGCATCTTTTGGGCATGGCCAGGAGCATCTCCAAGAACTCTGTCAATGAGTCATGTCTACATCAAAAAAAAGCAATACTTGTAGGTGATGCAGAAATCATAAGCTAGCACATACCCTTGTAACAGCTGAATTCACATCCACCTTACTTTCTTTTTCTTCCACTCCTCCCAGCTTTCTTCCTGTAACAAATATAGCTGCCTGAGTGGTAGAAGGCAGCTCTTACCAGTTCATGGTGTATTTTTAAATTTCTTTATATTAGTAAAAACAGTTAGTGGATATTATCAGTAAAATGCAATTATACTGTGAAAACTCTAGTATGCAATCCTAACCTCCTTACTAAAGGGAAGTAGTTTGCTTTCTCAGGAGTTCTGGTTAGTATGTATCAGCTCTGAAATTCTGACACTTCTTGATCATGCAGATGCTGCTGCTTTTGAAATCAGTTGCCTTCAGAAGCAGCCTGCTCTAGTTACTGAAGTGAGATACATCATTGAGTAAAAGTTGTGTTTGTTTTTTGAAACTGTCAGGAAAATTGTTGATAAAAAATTCTGTTCTGACAAGTCAGACACTTAAAAAAGAAAGAAGTTATTTTTAAAAAGCCATTGTTTTCCTTGGATTTTTGTTCCAGATGCCTTCTGTTCCTCATCTGACACTGGCCTTGGATAATTTTGGTGTATAGAGAAGGGATAGTTCTCTAATTCCAGGGTATTCTTCTGCTCCAGCTTTTCATGTACATTCCTCTTATAAAACTCCCAAGTTAGTAAATTAAAACTATGTTTTAGTTTCATGCATGAGAGTCTTCATTCTTATGACCTTGTCAGTGAGCTGCTGACCATAACAGAGTTCTGCTGCAGTATCCAACAGTACTAAATATAAATTGCAATAGTCTTCTGGGGGTTTTCAGCAGTATCTTGCTTTTACCTCCAACTGTTTTGCTAGCCCCTTTGCCCCTGTGCATGTAGGAGTGGTTGTATAAAGTGGACTTGTTTTATTTTACTCACAGAGAGAGGATGCATGTGAAAGAGGTTAGCAAAGTTTTTGCTCATCTTGTTCAAGTCTTTTACTCTAGAAGATTTTTACTTTGAAAATTTAACTATCAGTCATTTATTGTTTTCAGAAAGTTTTTCAATTTTAGCACAGAGGAATTGCTAGGACCTAGTAAATATCTTTGCTTCTGAAATTCCATTTTAATGAGTTATAAACCCATTGGTTGCTGTTTCTTGCATAGCCAGTGGGACTCTGGTTGATACATCCAAGTATCTCAATATAAATATTTTTAGTGAAGACTGAGTCATATGCCTACCAAAGCAAGGGCAGTAACTTTCAAAAACAGAGCAGTAAACAAACTCTAACTTGATTATAGGTTTTTATTTATCTGCTGTAATTTTTTCATATAATGAAGTCCATGTCGATGGATGGTAATGAGGTAATGAAGTAGCCATTAAGCATATTTTTGCCCTTGTTATGCAGCTTGTTTCCTGATTAACTCTGCAAACCACCTGGTTTTGGATACAAGTTAACTTGTTATTCCATTGTGGTTTTTGTAGGAGTGCCCCAGGGATCCACAATCTAGGCGCTAATGACAAGCATATTGTCATACATCAGGGAAAAGCCAGGTGTTATCAGTTCTGATAAGATGACAGTTGATTATTGTCTGATATTACTTCATCTTCTGCATATTTAAAATACAAGAATCCACGTATTTAAAATAGAAAATGGCATCAGCCTTTCACTTTATCAAAAACTTAGTTTTCCCAAGCATCATCCAGGGGTAAGGCTGCTCTTCACTAGTTCTGTTGCCTTCATTGGAAAAGATCCTGGACTGGGAAGAGACTTGTTAGGTGCTCAAGGAGATTTCAGCTCGGGGCTCTTGATTAATGTTTTATTTCTTAATGCTGGGCAAAGCTAAGATGAATTGTCATTAAAAAAATAGTATGTGGGATCTGAGTTTGTCTGGTCAAGATAGGTGGAAGGAACAGGAGACTGTACTTCCTTACGCTTTGCAAACTAGTGGAAAGGATTTTACAATATGATGCCTGTTGTAGGTGGGGTTTGCAGCTGCAAATTCAGGTTATTCCTTTCAGTCTTTAATTTATGCAGGACTTACGATTGTATCTTATTCCAGCTCCCTTTGAGAAGCTGCATTCTGTCCACTTTACAACTTTTCTATATTGTTTGTGAATTCTCCCCCATCTGATAGGACTTGAAAGTTTCTGAACAGTGGTAAATCATTATGGGGACAGTCTGTACAACTTCAAGAGAGACTTTAATAAATCTGTGCTGGAAGCTATCAGGGATGCTGAGTAAACACATTACTCTAATGTAATGCAGTCTTGTTTTCAGTGTAGTCAAGACTTTTATATTCTTTTTGCCATTTCCAGGTGTCAGTGTAAAAGAGATGCATTTCTGCAACTGAGGTTTCTTGGATGTATGTTAATGCAGTGTTTTTTTGGCAACTCCTGCATTTTGAGTGTTAATTTAAGTGTCATGACATGATCAGCCTTAAAATTTAGAGTCATAAAATGTATTGTAGTCTTAACAGATCTGTGTCAGAAAGCACTGATTTATGTTATTCTTTATGGAAACTGGTGATGCAATGGAAATTTTAGTTACTATATGTGACCAGTGAGATAAGTCACTACCTATGGCTTAGGAAGTTTTTGAACTATGAATTGTTGAAGGTCACAAGAGTATTCTGGGGAAATGCTACTGCATATTTGCTTTTTTTTTCTTTTGCTGTTTCCTAGGCAGGTGCTACTGGCCACTGTAAGAGTCAGTGTTCTGGGCTAGGTGGGCCTTTAACATGATTTAGTCGAATTAGTCTGTTATATTGGTAGAGTAAATAATGCTGCAGTATTACTTTACTTTTCTAGTTGTTAATTTCTCATGTTGTCTGATTGCTACAACTTTGTGATCATTTCAGGTAGTTTCATTGCTGATAAACGGAAAAGTCAGTATTCCTCAAAACAGGCTTGTGTAAGTGCTTTGCTCTGTCAGTCTTTTCTGGATTTGTTGTAAAGACTGAAAAGACTACATCATTGCTCTTCAAGCTTCCTTAAAAATATAACAAAATTGGAAGAGTTCAGCTTAAAAAGAAAAGTCACAAAATGTGGAGGCTGACTTGCCAAATCATATTCACAGAGAATGGAAATGTGCTTATATTTGTAACCTTTGTGCTTGCCTGAAATCTTACTGTTTTGACTGGTTTTGTAGCAGTAATTTAACATCATGGCTTTCCAGTTCCCATGGATATGCAGTAGCCTGTTCTGCTGACCTCAGTTCCCTCATCTTCACGTCTAGAAAGTTTTCAGTGAAAATATGTTGAATGAAGCAAACACTAATAGGTGGCAATTGGTTATAATCCTTAGAATAGCTTAAGAGACAAAAGTTGAGAAACACTTCTACTAGGATCTATTCTTTGGGGTTTATTTTGGTGTTGTGTTTTTTGTTTTATACAACTAGTTCTCCAATGTGCTGCTTTTACAGGAGTCAAGGCTCTGATTTAAATTAAGCAGATTGAGCTGTCACCAGTATCGTCAATTGGACTTCACCAGTATTGTTAATGAACATTTTAATTAACTTACTGGGTTTCTAAAGACAGCACAATTTTCAGTTATTAAGCTTTTCTCTTTTTAAGTTTTATTTTGTATTTTTGTATACTTCTAAACAAGCTTCATTGCCATGGATATCTGAATTATTACACTGTACACATGAGTGTACACATATTAAATAATACTGGGGGACTCAGGACGTGTTTGTATAAGTGACCAGTAAGGAGTACTTCAGGTGTCAGTTTGACTCAAAGCAAAGATTCTCTCCCCAAAAGGTTGTGTGTGGTTTTTGTTGTTTTGGTTTTTTTTAACAAAAATATTCAGGAGATAGTTTAGCACAGTGGACAGTGAATTTGATTTAGAGTATATTTAAGTTTACAAACTTAATGTTAAGCTCTGTTCACACATAAAAGTTGTAGCTGAGAGGCCAGCTGCTGTAGTATTTTGTTAAATTACTGAATTGCAAAAGTAAAAGATTGCAAGTGAGGGAGAGGGGATGGAAGATCAGCATTCTTGGTCTGCAGAAGTTGGCAGGTTTAGCATCAGAGCTTAGTTAACTTCTTGCCTTCTTCAATGCTTTAAATTAAATTTAAAAAGTGAAGTCAACTTGCACTGTCCATATCCTGCTGGAGTCCAACACCAGCTTTCTGGAAAATCTGATTGGTTCAGCAAAAAAAAAGTAACACAGGTTTACAAGCAGAGTCTGGCTCCATGTAGGTTTCACTGATCAAAACGAAGACTTGCCTCTTGCTCAATAACAACACTTCAATGAAGAATAGTCACAGGGATACCTAAGACTTAATTTTCTTGAAGTTCATAGTAATTTGCTTTGTGTAGGCTCTTACAAGTTTTGCATGAGATAGTTTAACTCAGCCCAAAGACGTTTTAAAAATCTCTATCGTCATAAATTTCAATGCTGCTGCTGCTGAATGGGTTCTTTATAACCAGCTTTGTCTGTTGCATGTGAATAAATTGCATGAGTAAGAAAAATAGCAGTAAAAGGATTATTAAACCTAGTAAAACTAGAGTGTAATAGCTGGAGGTTTTTTTCCTTAAAGAAAGCAAAGATTGAAACTTATTCCCATCCAATTGTAAGATAATTTTTTACCTAGTGACTTGAAGGAATTGAAGTAAGACAGCAAGCTCCATTTCTCTGTCTTGTAAATGACCTTATGAATGATACACCAGACCTAATAGAAACTTAGATTGAAAGATTATGAAATTATGCAAATGTAAGGGCAAAATAAATTAATAGGGTTTTTTAAAGTACGAAATCTATTACATTTTTTTTTAAATGGAAACAAAATAAGTTAGGTGGAATATATTTTGTTTGTCTCTTTTGTTTTCAAGGTTTGGCTTGAGCAACAAGTTTGATACAGAATTTCCTTCTGTTCTTACAGGGAAGGTAAGTGTGAGATTAAACTGTTCTTACAAATACATGCTCATGAACCCACAGTGCAGCACAGGCCAGCACTGCACTGAAGCCTGTTGAATTAAATCTGTCCTATTGATGACCAGTCCCTTCAGCGGACTTTGAAACAAGGCGACATGATTTGCAGCAATTGCTATTGGTATTGACATGCTAAACATGGGAAAGCTCAACCTGGCATCAGAGTTTTCATGCAGGCAATCTACATGAAAGCAAGACTCACTTGACCTTGCTTTAAAGATATCTGGGGTTTGTGCTGCCTCCTGTGAGATTGAAATTATTTCAAATACTAGACCTCTCTTTAATGTGTCTGTCAAGTCTTGAGTTTATATTTAGGTAAATCCGTAGAATGGAACTTGTCTTATCTGAAGCTTTAAGGAACAAAACATGATAGTGTTAAATCTACAAATTACGTAGGTTTTTAGTAGAGTTCCAGAAATACAGTAATTTAGTGCTGAAAATCAAGTGGTGACAAGTCTTGCTTTCTCTGGAGTCCTGTCATCTTAGTAAATGCAAGTCTAATAAATAATAATTTGTAGCTATTAACTAATGAAACTTTGTTATGGCCCTAAATTAATTCCCTAATTGTTTTGGCTTTTGTTTTTAGACTTTCAAATTTTGAATTATTTTTCTCTTTTTTTTTTTTTTCTGCTGTTTCACTCTCCAGTGCTTTTCATTGGCTTCATTTTATATCCTCCTTTTGTAACTTTTCCAGGATTTGTGAGGAAAAAACTTCATTTGGCTCTTACTGCTTTCTCTGATGTGTTAGCCTATTGCTCCAGCACCTCTGCAACCTCTGCCAGTTGCTATTGAGTCATATTAGCAATACAGAAAAGGCAGCTGGATGGCATCTCCTGGTGCTGCCAAATCCATTTGGGGTTTTTCTCCTTGTTTTTCACCCCTGAATGTAATTAATATAATATTTGTGTTGAATTTGTCCAGCTTTTTTTGACAGCAGGACAATTGAAAAGCAGGTTGCTATTTGGAGTTTTTGGTTGTTAAAAGGCAGCCTTGAGAACTTGGGCCTTTCTTCAGAATCTCCCTGAACTCAACAGGAAGAGCCTTACTGATTGCACAGGGATGGTGGTGACGCTGTTTGCATTTCACTACCTTGCATGTGTTGAAGGTTTCTTCTTTCTGTGAAGCTCTTTCTGATCACTGAAAAGCCACAGTAAACTTTTTGGAAATAACAATTCTCATGTTCTTTTAGTCAGGTTGTAGTTTGTTTAAATAAGCCTGTAGAAAATACCTAGCAGGAAATAGTGAAAGGTGATTTGATTATATCATTTAATCTCCTTCTGTCTCTCTAAAATATGCTTGTGTGTATTAAAAAAACAAAACAAGCCCAACCCCCAGACCTGCACTTTTTAATATAAGCATCAGAATCTGTCACATTTTCCACTTGATTGGCCTGCTCTTGTTAAATAGGCTGTGAACAAAAGTTTAATTTAAAGTTCAGTCAACTGCTTGGACTTAATTTAGCAAAGAGAGGCATGAGGAAGTTCTTCTGCTTGGCATTTACCCTTCTTGTTCTATAGCTCTAATCAGTGACAACATAAATCACATGAGGAGGGATTTGCAGGATAGAGGTATGCTGCTTCTGTTCAGCATCTTGATACCCTGTTGTCTATTTCTCATGTGTGGATTTGAGAAGCTTTCTCAGTAAGAAGAACACAGCGATAAATTAGTTCCCTTCTGCGAGGGCAAAACAGCAGTCGGATGAGACAGTGAACACGTTTTCCTTGCTGCCTGCCTCACACTGCCATGGAGCACATTAAAAACCACAGCTGTGGGTTTTTTGGTTTTTCATACTTCCGTAAATTGCAAGAAATAATCTGCTTCTTCCTCTGGTTATGGCAGTCAGTCAGCTTTATCCCTGTTGAAAATGAAATCTCAAGTCTGTTTTTTTCCAGTAAGAAAGTATTCTTCAAGTACCCTGATAAATGATTCACAATAAGAAGCACTGTGGTCCATTGATACATCACTTTAAGATCTTCCACTGTTCTTAAAATGGAAATACTTGCTTTTTATGAAATCACAATTCATGAATCTCATAATGAGTTTTTATATATTAACAATTAGTGATTAAAATGTTTACCATGAACCTGCATTAGTACACAGGCAGTGTAAGGCAATGTCATACTTTATTCAGAATGCCTCTGTAATATTAAGTTTAATGGTCTTGTTGTCCACTGTGAGTTGCTATTAATAATATATCCCAGATGCTAATGGAGTATAAAAGATTAAGCCAGTAGGTGAGGTTGATAGATTTCTCTGTGGCATCATTTTTCTTTTTAATACAGATGAAGATCTAGGTTTTTAAATTCAGGATGAAAGTATATCCAATGCACAATAAAAATCCCAAATAGATAAAACTATCGAGCTACACCTTTCTCCCAGAAGCCCTGCCTTTTTGGATTTATGCCTCTGTGTGGTCGTAGGAATTTACTTCAGCTTCCTGATCCTCAGTTTGCCCATCTACATAATGATGATTGTAAGCTTCCCACTAATTTTCTTCTTAAAAATTTGAAATACTTCTTCTTCCATCTCCCCTAACTCCTCATCTCCTAGTTTTTACAGTCTGGATAGTCATTGTAAATTAGCCTAGAGCCAAGATGCATGTAATTACCACTTAATATTTAATTGAAATATGCTGCCTTGGGGAGAGGTGAATGTGTATATTTGAGGATAAAACACAGGCAATAAAACAATAAAGGAAAGGCAAATATCAGGTAGGTCAGATGTCGGGCCTAGCTAATTGAGCTAGATTGACTGAATATTTATCTTGCAGGATGAGATACAAGGTTCAGCTGGTTTGTAAATACTGATCTAGGCTTTCAAGCAGTGCATTCTTTTCAATGGAATACTTTAAGAAAAGGTTTGGCTACACTTAACGCAGAGGCAATATTTAACTTGTAATAATGTGATTGAACTTTGGCCTAAATTTAAATTCTGTGTGCTACAGTTTTATAGAAGTATTAATTCTTTTAAAAGAAGCATTTAAAAGGTTTTAACAAAACACTCTTCCTGGTACATGGCACAACAGTACGCACTCTTCCAGGTGATGAGAAAATTATGGAGGCAGTGAAACCTTAGGGGGAAAAAAAGTGGAGTTTCCTGCCTTGATCTTAAAACAATAAGGGTCCTATACAGAGGTTACTGTGCGATGCAGGGAAATGTATGCCATAAAATGTAGTCCTGGTATTGTGATCCCATTGCAACATGTGATGGATAGGGTTTGTGATCATGATGATTGAAGAGAGAGATCAGGCCTGCTGGGCTTTACTTGCTCTCTTCCTGTGTTTGTAGATTCTCTTGCATCCTGTTGTAAAATATTATGACACCCCCTCCTTTCCTTTTATGTTTTTCTTTTTTCCCCTCCCTTAAAGACCTAAAAGGAACTAATGTCTCTTTACAAGGTGTACTGCACAGCCAGGAGCTATGTACTTATCTCATTCTTTCCAAGACCCAGACAGAAATTCTCCAAGAGACTTTTTCCAAAAATCCCCAAACCTAGACTTTCTTAGAGAGCTTTCTTTGTGCAGGAAGCACTCTTTATTCTGTTTCTTTGAAATACATTGGGCTTTTCAATATTGGTACCTGCAAGAAAGGCAAGGTTTAAAATTATGCCAGAAAATAAAAAATCCTTTGACCATTTCATTTGGATACTGTTTTATTATTAAATTAGAACAGTTACTTTATTTGCAGATATTTCTTTATTTGTCACTATATAACAATGCTTAACTGTTACTGAGCAACAAAACTGTTTGGCTTTCGTTTATCCCAGAGTGAGGCTTATCTTGGTCACTGGTTCCTTTAGTGTCAAATGAAGATGTCATTGGCTGACAGAAAATTTTACTGTGATTACATTTCCTAAAGGGAGAAATACATCCTATAGTTTGGGTTAGCCAAGGCCATCTTAAGTAATTTCATTTTATGTTGCAGTTAAGAGATCGACCTGTATATGAAAGTAGTTGGTGCCTTAACAGGTAGTAGTGGTGATTTCATAACACTGTGTAAAGATAGACATCACACCAGAATTTCTGGAATAGACATTTTCTGGGTTTTGGTGGCATCCAAAGTTGGTTTCTAGTTGAGCCATATCCTGGGGTATTCTCTATATTGTCCTTATAAAATAGCATAAAACTGTTAACTTGGTGTGGACAGTGATGCCCTTAAAAGTAGCACAGAAATAGGGAATTTCATCATCCCAGTGCTTTCTTATTAGTTCCCACATTTTTCTGCCTGCTGTGATCAAGGAATTTGGCTGACTTCTTTTCGTGTTGGATGTCATCACTGATGATGAGACAGACCTCTTCATGTTAAACTGAATTCCAGACTGTTCAATTCTATTGTCTTTGGTAGGTTTGTACAGGTGTGTTTGGGATTGAGGTATGTTACTGTCAAGGTCCAGTAAACTTGGTGTCTACTAGGAAAGGAAATGTTCTCTTTTAGTGGGGTTCATTGCAAAAGTACTAATGGGGTCAAGAAAATCTACTTATTTTTATTTTTCAAATAAATAACATGATACATAGACAAATTTCATGACTTACCAAATAAAGTGCCATTTGTATGTCTAAATACAAAGAACACAAACTTCCTTGAGAGTTGAGAAAGCTGATTTGTTAATGCCTGTAACCTCAAGTTTATTTTGAATTGTCTGACTGCAGAAACTGCAGTGTTACTTAATTCTACATACAACCAACCTAAATGTACTTAACTATAAAACTTGCTTCCACAGAGAAGATGGAATAGTCTTAACAGCCTGCGTTGCCAGGATCTGTAAAGCCTTCTGTTTCAGACACATGCAAGTACAGGCTAGTTTTCCACATTACAATGTGATTTTTAATCTGTTCATTGAAAATGTCCCAACACATGGGATATCTGGGGGTTTTGCCATTTTCTTTCAGTTTAGTTATTTTTTTCTAACTAAGATGTCTGTTATAAAACATATGTAAATGTTCCTTTCAGTCTAAAGAAAATTTAGTGCTTGTTCCATTTGTATATGTAAAAAGGACTATAAGAAAGTCTACTAAATATTGGAGAGGGTGAGTCTATTTAATGGCAAATTAAATGCTTTATGTACTTATTAGTTCCTGCTGTAAAATAACCACAATGTTATGTTCTTACATTACTAACTATAGGCTTGGCTTGCGTACAAACCCAGCTGACCTCTGACTCTACTGCATGGTGATCTGAATGGCCAGGAAACAGATGTTGTATTTAGTTCCTTTCCTGCAATGTTTTAATGAATTCAGCTCTGGTGAATAGGCAGAGGTAGCAGGATCAGGTCCTCTCCATTTCCTGTCCCATAGTTTTGCTCTTCTGGTGAAAGGAGCCTTTGTCATGAAATTAACACTGTTATTGTTGCCACCCTTGTTTGCAGAATCAAATGAACAAGAGTTGGGCTTGCTTGGTTGGAAGGATTGTGGAGTAGTTGCCTGTCTTTGTGTACAGACTAATTCTAGGGCTGCTTTTCTTAAACGTGGCAAGTAGTTAGTGAAGATTTTTTTGAAGTTGTTCCTGTCTAAGTCAGGTCTCTTCAAGTGGGTCTGATTATTCTGCTTTGTGTGTTGCATTGCTGGATTGTGATACAGTTAAGAGTGCAGTCTTGATGTCAGTACCATGAATCTGTATTTGAGTTGTCAGATCTAAGTTATTTAGATTCTGTAGAGAGATGAGAGATTTGGGGTATGTAAAAAGTAAGTCCTCACTTCTGTAGGACGTGTGCTGCTGCCTGAGAAAGGAGCTTAATTCTGATAGAAAATGTGTTTTTCCACTGTGGCTTTGCAGTGGCAATATGTAGCAAATAATATTTTGAGTAAGCTCTGCTGAATATTCTGTAATTTAAATAAGTTGTTTTCAACAGCTAGGTTTTATTCATAACTCGGTACAAGATGCATTTCTTTGCCTTGAATATGTTCCAGTTTGTCTCTCTGGGCTTCCCTATTTTAGGAAGCAGCCACAAGCGATGTTGGAGCCTTGTGTTGATATGGACCACTTGAGGAATTTATTTGTGAACAGAGGTCCCCACCTACCAAGATACAGTGTAGGCTTGCATTGCTATGAAATAAATTTAGACAATATTGTCCTTTTTTCCATGTGACACACAAGCATTTTTACTTGGAAGGTGCCCCACTTTCCCTTGGAAGTGTCATTCTTTCTCTTCAGTCAGCATAGCCAGTGCATATGTTGCACTGCTGCACCCCACTCCTGGTTTTGTTTGGGGCCATTATGTTATCAGAACAATTGATTTATTAAAGGTGTAATAAATAAGGCTGAGGCTGTTCACCCAAGTGATGTTTAGCTTTTTAATGCAAGTTTTTGCAAAGCATGGACCATAAATGAATTTGTTACAGGAAAGTGACTTTTCATGCTCACTGGGTGACTTAAGAGTTGGAGGGATGAGGTCATACTGTATGTTTCCATGTAACCTGTAGGACAGATAACTGAGAAAATACTCCTGTAATGGCTTTCCACTGAAGTTCAGCACTTCTATTGCAGGTTGCCCCAGAAGAATTCAAGACCAGCATCAGCCGTGTGAATGCCTGCCTGAGGAAGAATCTCCCTGTCAATGTAAAGTGGCTGCTTTGTGGCTGCCTGTGCTGCTGCTGCACACTGGGCTGCAGCCTGTGGCCCGTAGTCTGTCTTAACAAAAGAGTAAGTCCATGTTTCAGTCTTCTATTTATTTTGCAATTACTGATAGCATTATTTAGTGTTTCATAGTATTGTTCCCATTTCAAAACCCTTTTTATATGTCACTTGCACTCAAAATGCTATTCCATTTTCCATTCCTTAGTAGAAAAAAGACTTGTTCATGAAGTAAAAGATACCAAATTACCAATTGAATTAATAGTCTTCAGAAGAGCTAATCCCATCTAAGTTTGAAGAACAGGAGGGAGTATATGATAGTGTAAATCTCCAGGGTTTCTAAAGGGCTAAGAATTGAATTGACTGCAAAACTGGATACTGACCTTCAAGACTGCCTGAACAGGAGTGAAAATTACTTTCCTTTTCACAACTCCACCCCAGAATAAATACGTTTTTAAATTAAAAAATTACTTTTTTTGTATATGATAGATACCATAACATTTCAGAGCTGTGGTTTGTTGTATTTTACTGAGTTGTTTCTATTAGGAACAAACACAGGGGTTTTTTTTCTATTTGGGAAGTTTAAAGACTTCTTTTTTTTTTTTTACCAACAGAAAGTTGACAGCTCGTGTAATCAGGTCCAAAGTAATAATTCTGAAAAGCACTTTAGCAATATCAAGTAAACATGATCTTAATTACCTCGGTGGTTTACATTTCAATTGATTTATCACAGTAGTGAATGTTTAGGAAATAGATAAATAGATAAAATGTAATGACATTCTTTACAGCTACAGAGTTTACAAGACTTGTAACCATAAAATCTTACTATCCATAAAAGTAAATAGTATATAGGTGCACTAGGGAAAAAATATCTCACATTTGTCAATTCAATTCTAGGAAAAGCTCTTAAGTAAAAATTGTAATAATAAGTAATACTTCTTATAATACAGTAATACAGTTTTTACTTACTTTTTAGACTAGAAGATCAATTCAGAAGTTACTAGAATGGGAAAATAACAGACTATATCATAAGGTAAGAAAAATTAGAGTGCTTGTTTTCTTCAGCTTTAACATGGCAATTATGCATAAAAACTTACTGTGTAGGAATTTTATAGTCTTGTTATAATTCCACACTTCTGCTGATCTTAAAACCTGTGCCTGAAGTGTTCCAGGTCCCAATAACTGGGTAGTGCTAATGCTTGTTAGGTTACTCATCAAAACAATGCTGGCTGGTGTGCATTAATCCTCTGATAATTATTTTCATAGCTCGGTTTGCACTGGAAGCTGAGTAAAAGGAAATGTGAAACTAGCAATATGATGGAATATGTAAGTATTACTTGTATTATGTATTCAGTATTCACCATAACTGTGATTTTATAGAGAAAATCCTTAACTTTCAAGACTGTCATGTATCTAAAAAACAATCTCTCAGAAAAGTGTGCACTTGTCTCTGACACAGACCTGTGAAGGCCATTTTTTAACAAGAGCATCCATGGCATATACTGAGACTTCAAAATTGTAACCACTAAACATGTTTTCTCTTCATAACAATTCCACATTTGCACTGCAGGTACTCTTATTCTGGTCATTTGTAGTGAAGGAGACCTACTGGGTCTTTGTGCCTTGGTGTGATTCCCACACCAGCCATAGTTCTTTAACACCTACCCACCTTTTCCATTGGTATCTATTATTACTTTGATTCAAATTTTGTTGTTTTGTCTTTTTTAATTTTCTTTACTAGCTCTGAATTTCATAAAGTTTCAACAAGACAGTCCATTTAGGAAAGCAGAATTCTAAATATTTCTGTGGTCCTGCTACTCCCAGATCCACTTTCACATATAGCTGTGAAAATTGTGTAGGCTTGAAGAAGAATCACCCCCAAAAAGTCAAGTGTCCAGAAGGCCTTTATTTCAGAAGGACTGAACTCTTGGCTTTGTTACTCTGAGAAACATTCTCTCCTTCAAGAGTATCTTGGATATGCCTAGTCTCACACACTAGCTAATGTTGCATGGAAATGGTGCTGAAGGTTTGAACTTCTTGGTTACTGTGTTCTGTTTTTGTCTTTTTCCCTTCTTCAACAGGTAATATTAATAGAGTTCTTACCAAAATATCCCATATTTCGACCTGACTGAGGAACAGCATTTGGCCTTTCATGTTACCTGTCATTTTCTACCTTTAGTGCCTTGTAGATGATTTTGGAAAGAAGATGGTCTACTTTGCTGTGACTTAAACATGTTCTTCAGTAGAGTATCTTCCTTGCTATGTTACTTTCTTTTGTTAAGAAGAGAACAATTTGCACATTTTTTTATGTTAAATGATGCTTCTATGTTGCACTCTTGAATTTTTAACTTTAACTGATAAAGTTGCCACTAGGGATCTAACATCAGTGCTGCTTAAACTTGTTCTGAGCATGCTGCCTTATTAATTTCTATATTTGCTGTCCTCAAACACACATCCTAGTGCCATGTCATACTATATTTCATACTATATTTCATTCTCCACGTTGCAATCCTGTAACCCCTCCATAGAAATGGCCAGGTAAGCACCTCGTAGTTATGAGTTTAGTATAACCTGCTTGCATAGGACTTGCAATCAACAGCACTGGTTTTGTCCTGCACTTTGCAAAATCATCATTTACATTAGGGGGCTAATTATTTTACCCACTATGGATTTGTAAATATTGACTCTTTGCATAATGTCAAGTGTGGTATGCCAAGGTTTACAGAATGTAATATAGCTCTTATTCTATTGCCAACAGGCTGACATCATTTTACTTATTACATTTGCTAGTGTCCCTCCCTGTACAGACCCTCTCACCTGCTGGTTTTGTGGTAAAGCCATAATCAGTTTGTACATACTACCAAACGTGTAGGGCTCAGTTGCACTTTGTTTAGTAAATGGGTGAAAAATGCATAGCATTTCTGTCTTTTCTTTTAAAAAGTGTTTCAGGTGTTTGTAGCACCTGAAATAGGAATCTTAAATATTCTCCATCTTTGAAAAAGTGGCATTTGTGGGGTAGATGGCAGCTGCTAGTAGCAAAATGTCCTAAAGCCTTTTTTTTACATGAGAAGTACTTGGATGTCAAGTTTTGTTTTGTTTTTAAATAAGGAAAAAGTTTTATGACTGGAGACCTTCATTGCTGAAGAGAAATATTTGGAAGAGCCAAATCAAAGCTGAAGTAACCCTTTTGTTATTTTTGTAGTGTGATAGAACTTCAACATTTTAACAGTGAAGTGACACAGCATCCTTTCCAGTGGAAATAAACTTCATCTTAATCAGAATAGTGTTTCAAAATATGCTGATGGGAGGAAGTGGATCAGTTGAAAGGGCTCAGGCATATGTGTTGGTATTCAGACACAGTCTGAAGAGCCATGAATGCCTTGTGGAATTCACACGTATTTTTGGATTTATTGCTGTTTGCCTGGTCTCAGGAAGGGAAGTAATTGTAGAAAAACTTCCAGTAATGGCTGGCCTAAGCAAGACCATTTGATAATACGAAGCAAATGAAATCTATATACTTCTCTTACAAATACATTTCTGGAGTAAATGAAGGGAGCTTACTTTAATTAACAGAACAATGGAAGTTCCTTACTGTTACACCAGAATTTTGTTAGTAATTTTCTTATTTTTGTGTAAGAAACTCAAGGAATCTCAGCAGGTTATTTTCTTCTTTATATGACTATATATTCAAAATGTTTTTTTCCAACTGAGAGAACAGGCAAGCTGCCTGAGAGTTCTAGGAATTAATTGTCAGTGGTGAATGCTTAGCAGTTTTCAGTCTTGCTGCTACAAGGAATCATCTTCAGTCTTTGCTGACTTTAGCATATTCAGTTCAAAATTTCTCAACCTGATTTGTCTTGTTTCTGTCAAGTGCTGTGCCAAGCTGAGAGGATACCCTGAGATACAGGAGCCTCCAGTCCTTCTGGGCTGTTCCCTGCCCAGCCTGTGCTGGGATGTAGTCAGAGATCCAAGGCAGAACAAGATCTCTGCTTTGCTTTCCCACCTCATTCCTTCTCCCCCCTTCCCCTGGGCCTGCTCATGTCCAGTACTGCTGGCTGCTCTGCTCACAGCTGACTGGCTGCCCTCGGGTCTCTCCTGGGAGCCACGAGGGATTTAAGCACAGAATATTAGTTTACAAAGTTTACATTTGAAGTCTGTAAATTCTATACATATTATTTTGTCCCTTAATTATTGTGTAGTCTTCAAACCATGGAAGGGTCTCTTCTTTTTCTTGTTTTGATAGACATTTAAATAAGAGGCTAGTAAAGAATGAGAGCCAAAACTGCCATTTGCAGTAAGCTTCATGTTTTAATAAGTAGCTAAATTAGCATTAAATGCAAAACCAGCACCAGTATTATATTTGCATCTGAAAGACACGGGTTCCATAGCTCATCTAAAGATGAAGGCAGCTCTAAGTACTGCTGTGAACTCTGCACTTCTGCTCTGCTTGCAGGTTCTTTTTTGCCTGGGCTATCCTTTGCTTTAATATAAAACCATTCAGGGGTAATTGTATCTAAAGAGACTGCAAATCTCATTTTTGACAGTAAGATGTCAGCTTAAGTTGGGAAACCTATTTATGGAGGATACTTGTTAATTGGAGAAATAAGTTGTAGCAATATAACAGAGTAATGTTAGCAAAGTGATGTGGAAGTGGTAATGAAAGTGCCTTGACTGGTTCCAACAAAAGACAAAGCTTTGAGCAGAGTGAGGAGAAAAGGGAACTAGTAATTATCAGTAGTGTGAGTTTGCAGCAGATTTTTAAAAGCAGTTACTGTCTACCAAGTCAGTGTTTAATTTTTCATATAAACATGTTGACACTGATTTTCCTTTCTAGTGTTTATCTAGGAAGTATTTGGGTTTGTATCTAGTAAGTTTTTGTATCTAAGGAGTATTGAAGTATTAAAGAATACTTGGCAGAGCAACAAAGCTCCTGCCTACTGATTTCCCACCTGCATCTGTTAAATTCTTTTACTATAGGAAACAAAGGTGTTCCAAGACATGCACAGACAAGTCTAGGAAGTGTGGATACAGTTGTAGAATGGTGACTTTAAATAGAAAACATTTTTGTTAATTCTGTTATGGTCTTGATAAATAAAAAAAAAATATTCCCATGCTTTCCTTGATATGTACAAAACTCCATATGCAAAACCATATTGTTATGTTTATTATTGTCCCACTATGACAGTTTACTACATTTACTTGTCAACACACTACCATTGGAGCAATAAAAATGTCAAGCTATTCAATGTAAATAATTTATCATTTTAGTGAGTAATGTTATTTGATTCTTCTGCCATTTTATTTTGTTTTGGCTTTTGGTGTTCTTATGGTGTTGTATCATTACTCGTACTGCTTCAGAAAAGTGGTTTTGTTTAAGCTGTATGAAACTTTGTGTTCCTAACATTTTTCTTCTGTTTACAAGTGAACAGCCACTTTTTTAATAGGACCTCACATATTGAGAGTTTTCTCTTTTTTTTTTTTTTTCTTTTTATTAAAATACAATTCTAACTGAGCTTGCTTTCTACAATTTCCTGAACTGGCTTGTGCCATTAAACAAAGCTGGAAGTCAGACATGCTTAATCACTTTGAGACATTTTTCTTTAATTAAATTTAAAGATGAAAACCTTTGAATAGTCCAATGTGTTTATGGAAACAAAATACCCTGCGTCTCTGTGCTGATCAGCTGTGGATGGAATGGGGTGGGATGGGCTTTCCTATCTGATAGGGCCCGGCCAGGTGCTGGAGTGGGACTTTAATTGTTTGTTGGCTGGCTTAAAGAACAAGATTTAGAAAGCTTAGGAGTGCTTTCCAAAATGAAAACTGCAGAGTGATCATCACATTCAGTCTTCCAGATAATTTGGTTGGTTGGCTTGCAGGCCGGCAGTTGTACCGGCTTCTCTCCAAACAGAAGACAGTTTTTCCTCCTGTGCTGTTGTAGTTGCACCTCAAAGGGAGCCAAACCTGAGTCTGTGTTAGCAAAATTAATCGTTGGCTTATATAGAGGATTGTTAATGTAGGACAATGCAGCCTTTTGTGTGTGTTAACTGGCTTTGTAGCTGTGAAAGCAGGACTTCAAATTAAAGCCTTTGGCTCATCCCTGAGGGAAAAATATTGCATTCCTGGAAGGGGCACGTGCAATGTTTTTGTTGAAAGTTGGTGTCCTCAGTTGTTTTGGGCAAATACAGGAGCATCTGGGTTGATGTGCTGTTTAAGCATGGAATTGTTACTGAATATTATTTGAGAAATTTAGAGAATGTTACTGTGGTGTTAGGCCAAATATAGCAAGACTGGGCTGAGTCATGGAATTAATCCCCTGCTAGGTTTTATGGGCTTGCAAAGGTCCATTTTAAGAATATGTGGGATTCTGCCCAGGCTTTTACTATGGGAAGTTATTTTTGGAATGATTTGGTAGTGAAGCTTACTACAGTGGCTGTGCCTGTGTACTTCTAGTGTCATACACCTGCCATGTCAGCATTGCTCTTCAGCATAAAGACTTGAATGTTCCAGCCGAGTGTATTTTTCTAGTTAAGCTTATAGACATAATCCCTGTTAGTCTTCACTTTATTAGAGAAGATGAAATATTAGTCTCCCCATAAAAGTGAAGCTCTGGGCTTCTTACCACCCCACTTGTTTTTGCTTGAATTTATTCCAGTTTGAATTAATTTTCCTTGAATCAGGATGACCAGAGAAAGTCAGATACTCCAGATAATGGCTCATGGCTGAGGCACCAGGTGTTGCAATGTAGATGGTTCCCTTTCTTCCATGAAAATAATGTGATCCATTAAATTTAAAGGATCATTTTTTTCTTTTTAATGGCTGTATTGTACTTCTGATTCATGACATTCCGTGATAACTTTGGGACTTTCTCTCTACAGTCACTTCTGGTTTATAGACCCAACAGACACTCTAATTACTAGACCCATCAGTCCAAGCTCATTACTTGACATTTGATACTGTTGAATTTCTTGATACTTACATTACAAAGTTCTGTAACTCTGTAACAATCCTCCAACTCTTCTTTTAGATGAGCTTCCATTCCTCCTACAAAAAAAAATAAAATAATTGATCACTGATTTCCATCTGCCAAGTTAACAAAAATGTTTTTATTAAAAATATTAGTTCTGAGATTGATGCCTGAATTCTGCTTGTAAGTTCTTCTCCTTAGTTCCTTACCTGACTTAAATTTTTCTATTATGTCTCCATCTGAACCAGTAATTTCCTTGTTGTAGTTTATCTGGTAGATCTAAATTATTTGGACTTTGTTGATTTACACTTGTTTATTTTGTAAACATGTGAACAGGGCAGATTTAGGTCTAGGCTAAACTACTCAATTTTGTGCATTGTAATCATTGGATCTGTTTAGAGGATTAACTTTTTAATATATACACATTTTATTTCACGTTGTAAAATAAAGGGTGCCCAAATAATAATGGGAATGGCTAGGAGAAACCACAGCAATATGGTGCAACACTGCGGTGTTAGGCAGCTCAGGAACTTAATTCCACATTAGTTTCCTGCATACCTAAATGTTCCATCCTTTATCAAAGACATTTATTTTGACCTTAAAATGACAGTATATTGGATAATGAAATCTGTAGCCACAGAGGGTCAGTTCATATCTTCATCTGAGCTAGTTCATGAAGTGCAAAGTTGTAAATTTAAACCTAAGAAGCCAGTTATCCTAACTGCTGTTTCCATCAAAGTACAAATAAGTCCCTTTCAAACCTAATTTAATTACTGTTGGGTTGTATCATTTTTTTTTTTAGTAGATAAATATCAAGGGTTTTTAAGGTTCAGGTGCTGTTTTGGGAATATCTGGAATAAAAACCCCCACAACTCTTGTAAAATCTGTTAATAGGCAAGAAGAGGAGTCAGCTGCTGCTGAAGCTCTTGAGTGGCAATTTTCCACCTCAGTATGAATTAATCGGAAACAGTTGGTAGTCTGTGACTAGGGGATATCAGGGGCCAATTCTCAATATACTTCAGGGATCCTGTGGAAAAGTTGTCTTAATTCCTATTCCAGTTGCTATGGTGAGCAGTTCTTTCTACATGTAGCAGAAAGCAGGGAGGAATGGATCCTACCCACCCTTGAACCGCGAAGAGAAGAGACACTTCTGAGGTAACTTTTTTGATACCGTTTTTTTTTTTTGTCATTGCTGAGTGTGTGAAAAATGTAATTGGCTTTATGATTCTTTTACGTTTTTGGTAGCATTGAATAGTGCTGAAAATCACATTGCTGTTGAATTTCCATGTAGTGTTGATGGAATTAAGAGACTTGAAACTTGGAGAGGGTGATACTAACTGGTGCAGCAACTCTAAACAGAAGCTACTAAGTGGCTTTGAATTGCAGAAAAATAATAATAACAACAAAATAAGTAATCAGGCCGAGGATGTAAAATGTGCAATTCATTTATGAGCTGCGAAGCTAGAAATGGGTCATGTAAATCCCACCCAGAAAGCCCTGAGTACTCTCAAACTGTCACTGTTTTGCGAATACCCCTAGGCTGACACACAAGCTGTTAGGACCAGTGTAATGAACACAAACAGCATCACTCACTTCCAGTCACTTCCAGAAACCTCTTTGGAAATTCTGTTGCGCTGCTTGAGCCCATCAGGAGGCACAAGAGCCACAACGGCCATTTGTGCTCTTCTCGTTGAGCCAATTTCAGTAGCCGAAACTCTTCGGAGACTTAATCTTAGCAGACTCACTGTGAAAGGCTGAAGAAAAGGTTGACATCTACCTTGCCAGGCAGCCCTGGGAAGCAGCTGCACCGACCCCGTGACGAGTGTCGGGGCCCGGAGGGGCTGCGGCTGCCGAGCTCCCGGGAGATTTAGGGATGCCAGGAAGGGCTGAGGGAGTGAACCCTGCGAGCTGGGCCCTGGGGCTGCGCCTCCCGCTCCCGCCGCGCGCCCCTTCCCTTCCCGCCTCGCCGCCCTGCGCGTGCCCCCCGCGCATGCGCCGCCCG